TCAAGAGGCTGTATCTCTTATATCACCCTTCAGGAATGAAGGACTTACACGCCAGCTGCTGGAATACTTTGGGCCCTGCCTCAGCTGGAGAGAGCCACCTTGCCCAAGGTCTGCCATTCCCCAGTGCAGCCCACATTCAGTGACTGGTTGGTGTGGAGACGTGAAGGCCTGGTCCTCACCCCCATACTCAGGGCAGCTCTGAAGTTTTGTTCCATCTTGAGAACAACCTCTGGTTGGGCTGAGACTTTCATTGAGACTGCACCACAGCTCAACTGCTGCCCAGAGCTTCGAACCAGTTCATTCCTGTCTGAACCCCTGCTCAGAATTGGCATTTCCACCCCAGATACACGGAATTAAAATCTACATTTTAACAAGATCCCCAGGTGATTCTTAGGTCTAGGGTAGAAATGTAAATTCTCAGCAGGAAGTCTAACCATAATGAACAGGAATGAACCAGTTCAAAGCCCTGCTGCTCCTTCTGCGTAGTTGGTTTCCTTCCCTTCCCTCCAACTGGTGCTGACCCCAGCAGTACTCCCTAAAGCCCTCCTGCCCATCTACATCCACTCCTCACTTATCAACATTGTTAGGTTCCAAAGACTGGATTATATCATTACATAACTGGTCAAATTATATCATTTCAAGCCTGTCAAATTGTATCATTACATAACTGCCAAACCACTGAGAATCGTGGCCCAGCCAAGTTGGCATATAACCTTGACAATCACAGATGGTGTTACTCTCACCTCTCACCTCAGTGTTCTTTACTGCTATCCATATACATTGTTAATGCACAAAATAATTGGGTGGTAAATATTTTATTATTGTCGTAATGTGCAATGTTGGATAACAAGATAGTCAATAAGTGAGGAATAGGTGCTATAACAGATATATATTTTATCAAGTTAATATATTTAGTAAGTGTTGGAGCCCATAAATTTTTACAATTAAAAAGAAAAAATTCCTCCTACCTAGTAATCTCCATTTCAGAACTGCTTCCTGGGGAACCTGGATTTGAACTTGAACAGTTCAGCACTCCCTTCAACTCCCAGCCTGCAGAGGTCTTTCCTTTCAGACTTCAGCAGCACCAGGCTCTAAAAAATAGCACATGTGAGCTGGCTGGGGTCCATGGGGCCAGGGCTGGGTGAGGCCAGGAGCCAGCCTCCTGAATTTGCCCCACCACCAGGGAGCTCTGCCTGTTTCTGAGGAGGCCTGATCCTAACCTGACCTGGTCACAGTCCCTTAAAAGGTACAGAACATGGCACCAAGAGTCTCAGGACAATAGAGTTTGAGGCAGGCTGGGCAACTGGATTTGGAGATAGACCTGGCTTCTAGGTCCCAACCTTTTCCCTGTGGGTATAACTGTCTCCTACCTGGCTTCCCTGCTTCACATCCCCTCCACCCACAACTCACCCCTCTCACTGTCACAGGGTGGTGGTGCTAAATCAGAAGAGAAATATGATGGGGACTTTGCTGTCACCCCTGAATGCCACGTGCTCTCCTGCTCACACACTTCTAATCTGGGGTGGCCACATCCCATCCTCCATCCAGGGACTCCTGAGCCTTCAGTAGGACTTACCTCAATCTGCTGTGGGCAGAGAGCGCATGTGTACGAGGTAGGGTGGACATGGTGAGGGCAGACTTTCCTCTTTACCCACTTCTATAGTGGTGCCTTTCATCTGCTAAGCATGTACCTGGTGAGCTTCAACAGCAGCAAGTCACCTTCTCTGGAAGCCTTTTCTGGTTGCTTTCCCTCACTTCTGCAGGTGGATTTGGGGGCTCCCTTTGGGGACTCTTTAGGACTTAATTCCTGCCTTTGTCCTAGAGTGTCACAAGGCACTATCTGGGATCATTTAGATACCTATGTGTCTGTACCTGGCTGTGAGCTTCTTCATCAGAGACCATGTCTTGCTCATCTTCAAGTCCTCAGCCTCCAGCACAGGCCAGGCCCAGGGCAAATGTCAGTAACTACTGGTTGCCCTTAGTCTTGTGGTTTGTCCACTTCTTTGGTAAAAGTTTTCATGGAAGAAGAAATTGAAATCCATCCTCTAAAATTAGGTTTTTTATTATCTCTATATTTCATGGATCATAATCACCAAGTTTTCTGCTTCCATTTATTGATTACTGTGCACAGGCTGCTCCTGTACATGTTGTTGTTGTTAGCTGCTGTAGAGTAGGCCCCCCACTCATGGCAACCCCATACACAATGGAACAAAACGCCCCCCATGATTGGTGGCTCCTCATTGTGATTCATAAGGTTTTCATTGGCTGAGTTTCAGAAGTAGATCGCTCGGCCTTTCTTTCTAGTCTGTTTTAGTCTACAAACTTCACTGAAACCTTGATGCTGTGTTCAGTGTCATAGAGTGATAGCAGCGTGTCCACTGACAGACAGGTGGTTGCTGTGCATGATGTACGTTGGCCAGGAACCAAACCCAAGTCTCCCAGGTGTAAGGCGAGAATTCTACCACTGAACCTCCCTTGCCCCTATTCACATACGTGAACACATCTGATCTAAACTTCTCACAGCCATGTGAGGAGCGTATTCCAGGAGGCCTTGGAATCTAAGCTGAGGTTGTTTTTCAGCTCTTTTTGCACAGAGTTTATGATGGGCCTGGTAAAGTGGCTGGAGTTGTCTGAAGCTGTCTTGCCAACTATGACTGCTTTTGCCAGTGGCCTGGGAGGCGAAGGAGCAGACACATTTGTTCAGATCTTATTGAAAGACCCCATCTTGAAGAATGACCCATTGGTGATCACTCAGGTATGTACAAAACCTGGGTTAGGTGACCACTACAGAATGGGTGTGTTGGAATAGGGAGTTGAGGATGGGGGTGGGTGAATTAAACAAATAATTTCCCTTCAAAAGTTGATCTGAAATTGCATCTAGTGGGTGAGGTGGCCTGAAAGATAACGTTTCATCATGATATACTTTTATGATGATAATAATAGCTAATGGTGAATTGTTACTGAATATTAACTATTTAATTTAATATTTATATAGTACTTACTATGTGCCAGTGCCTTTCCAAATATGAACTCACTTAATTCTAGAGCAACTTTGTAAGGTAGGCAGTAGGATCATTCCTATCTTATAGATGGGAGAACTGAGACAGAGAGGTGAAGTAACTTGCCCAAGGTCACATAGTTGATAAGTGGCTCAGCCAAGTTTTGAACCCAGGCACTCTAATGCCAGAGTCCATGCTTCTAACTAAACTGTGGTACCTCTTTAGAACCAGCAGCTTTACTCTGGCCCTTGGGCAGGTCATTCACCTGCCCTGTGTGTAGTTAAAGCAGGCAGAAACTTGTGACATTGGCTACTGGGGGGCAAATTCATAGACTTAAAATAGCCCCTTCTCCTCAGTCACCTTCTGTGCCCTTTCCTGCCTTTATTTTACTACCTGAAAATCTCATGTTTTCCTTTATTTGCTCTCGTGCTTATTATCTGTCCCGCTACAAGAATATAGGGCAAAGATTTTTGTCTGCTCTGTTCTCCCACTAAGTAGGGGTCGATCAATATTTATTGAGTGAGCAGGCTGGTAGCATATCAACTTATTGCTGATTCACATTACTTTCCTCCTCCTCTCCCCCCAGGACCTTCTGAGCTTCTCACTCAAGGATGGTAAGTTGATTTTCTAAGCTTTGTAAATTACAGGGAACCTTCTTAATCCTTGGTCAGTGAAGTAGGGATAGGTGTCACCACCCATGGCCCTATCTTCTGTGGTCTTTTTGGTGCAAGGAAAGAAAGGGAGCCCAGTAGAGTTGGTGAACTGATGAGCAGCACTTCATTTGTGCCAAACACTGAAGGTTCTTCTTAGTGTTTGTTTCATTTATTCCTGTGGCTTTACCTCCTAAGTAGCTCTTGAATCTAGCCCCTCCCCGATCCCCATCCTCACCTTGGCCTGAGCCACCATCACCCTTCTCTTAGACAATAAACTCACAACCCTTCTGAGTACTGTTGGGCACCTGGGACACCTCACTTTACCCCTATCTACTGTGGGTGACGTTGGGGCAGAATAGTTGGAGTGGGTGTTAAATGACCCATCTTATGCCTTACCAAGGGCATTCTCATAGGCACCATCTAAACTAGCATGGCCTTTAACATTTTCATTGAGAATAAAAAACTCCACGAGTTGCCGTCAAGCTGACTCCAATTTGTGGTGACCCCAGTGTGTCAGAGTAGAACTGGGCTCCATAATGTTTTCAGTGGCTGTGATATTTTGGAGGTAGATAGCTAGGGCTTTCTTCCAAGCTTCCTCCCAGTGGATTCAAACTGCCAACCTTGCAGTTAGAAGCCAAGCGCTTAACCATTTGTGCTACCCAAGGACTCCTTCATTGAGGATAACCACCACTTATTAACACCTATTAAATACTGGTCACTGTACCTGACCCTGGTCAAACACTGTTTCACTTCATCCTCACAACAGTCCTTTAATGCAGTTGCTCCCACTTTACTGATGAGATAACTCAGGTTCAGAGAGGTGAAGTCACTTGCCTAAGCTGGTAAGTGGCAGAGCTGGCCACTCTAAAACAAGTGCTATTAACCACAACCTTAGCAGGTTTTGCCCACAAGGGTTGAGAAATGTAGAGATGTCTATGTGGAAATATAGTAATACTTCATCTCTAAATAAGACCAGGATCTAGTATTCGCGTGTGCCTTTTGTTTCTTTGATAACTTCCACAGATGAGTGCAGAGGCTAAGAATAGGAGTAGCTTCCATGGCCACCAGAACCCCAGTGGGAGCAAGTGTTAGGGCTTCAGAGGACCCTGTAACTCCAGTCAGATTGTGAGGGCCCTCAAAGGCCATCTAGACTACTGTCTCATCATACAGAGGGGAAAGCTGAGGCCCCCAGAGAGGAGTGCGTAGTTCAGGTCTCACCTCTTTATCCATGTTAAGGCATAGCCAGGGACCAGTATGAAGAGCGATTTTGGGGGGCATCTTGCCTGGGTGTAAAATGCAAATTGTCCCTTGTCTCTGTGCCTCAGTATCCTCATGTGTCAAATGGAAATAGTTGTAGTCCTTACCTTATAAGGCAGTGATGAAGGTTAAATGAGAATCCATGTACAGTGCTCAGAACAGAGTAGGCATGAAACAGGCCGTGGATGCCAGAGGTGGCTAGTGGTAAAATGGGGAAACCCAGGGAGAGGGGACCTGGATTCTCCTCTTCTCCCTGAGATTCACTTGTCATGTGACCTTGATCGAGTCACTTAACTTCTTGGAACTACAATGTCAAATATGCATAAGGGACAAGAGCCAGATGCCTTATTAAAAAACTGCCTTTGGTCTTAGGAACGTGGTCAAGAATCTTACATAGGAGAAGGAGGTCAGTGCCACAGATGGGACAATTGACCAAGTCCTTTCCCACAGATCCATGAAGGCAGGGCCCTTGTCTGGCTTGTTCCTCATCATGTCCTAGCTTTTCCAACCCTGACAACCAAGTGGAGGACATTTAGCATTTGTTGGCTGGATGAGAGAGGGAGAAGTGGCCTTTCTTCAGAGAATGAAGTTAGGCCTGAGCAGGATGGTTTGTCTGTGTTTGAGTGTTAAAATGCCTTCCTCTCATAGAGGTTGGTGGGTTGGGGGCACACAGCAGAGGAGGCGGCTGTCTGTGCTGCTGGGCTTCTCCCTGGCTTCCAGGTGGGGTCATTGTCATGGAATCAGCATGAAAAGCTACATTTCTCACAACTTCCTGGAAGGTTGACCTTTACTGGCAGTTTTGGAGGCTTAGTCACCAAGGGAGCGATGCCTGCCCCCGTGGCAACTAGAATGCGTTATTTTGTGCACTCATCATTTTCTTCTCACCGAAACTCTTTTCCACACAATGGAAAACAATAAGTCTTTTACATGCTGGAGGCTAAACTGCATCTGAGGTAAGAGCTCGAGGCCAGGGCTTCTTACCTCGGCACTACTGATGTTTGCCGCTGGGTAATTCTCTCTCGTGGGAGGCGTCCGTGCACCATGGGATGTTTAGCAGCATCTCTGGCTTCTATCCACCACATTCTAGTAGCAGTCCCTGAATTGTGACAACCATAAATGTCTCTGTACATTGCCCAGTGTCCCCTGGGGGTCAAAATTATCCCCAGTTGAGAACCACTACCCTATAACCCCAAATTCAGCCAGGTCAGGTGGGCTAGTTTATTTGCCCCTAGTAGTATTTATGAGTTATGCTGGCTGCTCTTGGTTGTGAATTATTAAACCAGTTGCTATCAAGTCACCTCTGAGTCATGGTGACCCCACATGTGTCAGAGTAGCATGAGCTCCACAGGGTTTGCAATGGCTGAAAGTAGTCCTTTCCTCCAAGGTGTCTCTGGGTGGATTCAAATCTTACTAGCCTTTGGGTCAGCAGCCAAGCTCCTTAACCATTTGTACTATGGAATATAATTTGTAGATCAGCTGTTTGAAGCAGGTACTATTATTCCCATTTACCAAAAACAAACAAACAAACAAACAAGCAAACAAACTCACTGCCACTGAGTCTATTCTGACTCATAGTAACCCCCTTTGGGTTTCCAAGGCTGTAAATCTTTACAGAAGCAGACTGCCTCATCTTTCTTCCATAGAGCAGCTGATGGGTTTGAACCACTGACCTTTTAGTTAGCAACCAAATGCTTTAACTATATACCACCAGAGCTCCCAGGGAAGGAGATTAGAGATCAGGAGGTTAAGTAGGTAGCCTAGAGTTACATTTCAAAGTAAGTTTCAAAAGTCCAGTTAAGGCAAAGGAAGTCTCTGCATGAGCTCTGTCTTAGTGCCTGGGACTTTGAACTGAGTCGTGACTTTGCCTTCTGTACTCTGAATCCATAGGGAGAAATGGCTATGGGCCGTGGAACCCGAGGTGCACACACTGAATGAGACATAGCATTCCTTACTGCATACTCCCTCTCCTTTCTGACCTGGCCTTTATTGTTGAATTGCACACTGTCTACGTCCCTGATGAATCAGAAATGCTGAGTTTGGAGCTGTTGGTCTTTGGTCTTGGTGAAATTCAAACCTAGTCACCCAGTGACTTCATCAGCCTCCTTGAGATTCATCCAGTTTGCCTTCTGTGTTCAAACTGTCTGGTTTTCCACTTCATAGTGTTTGTTAGATGAGCCATAAGGGCTGAGCCTGTGTGTGCCAGGCTCTGGACTGGGCACTGGGAATCATTCTGATCAGAGCTGACACTCATTGAATGCCTACAGGCACCGATTCCTTTAAATCCCACAGCAATTCTAGGAGGTCAATGCTATTATTGTCTTCATTTAACAAAAAAGAAAACTGGGGCACAGAGAGGTGAAAGGACCTGCTCAAGGTCACAAAGTGGAAAGTGATGGAGCCAGGATTCGAACCCAGGCCATGTGGCTCCAGAGTCCATTTTCGTAGCTACTGTTAAACTTCCCACAGAGGGGTAAATTCAGACTTAGTCCCTGTCTTCCTGGTGCTCATGGCCAGCACACAGCTCACTTGTAAGTGAGTTTGATGAGACTAGAAAGAGGGAGGGTGCAGCATGGGATAGGAGCCAGAAGAGGGGGCCAACATGTCAGCATCCAAGAAGTGGAGTTTGAGGAAGGTCCCGGAAAAGCAGGTTCTCCTCTCTGCCCTCTGCTTGGATGACCACTGGTCCTGAAGTAAGCTTATCACTACTTTAATGCCCTTAATCGTATACCCTAAATGAGCCTGCCAAAGGGGCAGGGAGGTTGCATCTTCTGACCTCTAACCCCACAAGAGGAAGACAGAATCACCATCAGTAGCCCAAGGCTTATCCCTGTGAGGCCAAACATGCTGCCTCCCTCCAGCCCTTTCACCAACCCTGACACCAACCACTCCTCCCGCAGTACCCACCTCCTCTCTGCTGGGTTCGATAATTTGCTGCAGTGGCCACACAGAACTCACGGATTATGGGGCTTAGTAGGGAAGCACCAGGCTACAATTCAAGTTCAGGAACAATGCTCAGTCTCTCTCAGCAGTGTATGTCTCTCAAGGCCTCTCGCTCAGCCTCTCTCAACAGTG